AAAAGGTTAAATAAAGAACGTAAACTGGAACAGCGAAGATTGGAATTAGAAATGGCAAAGGAGCTAAAGAAGCCTAATGAAGATATGTGCTTAGCAGACCAGAAGGTAATCATAATAATGTAAATTTATTTTTCTGGCTCTTGTTTCTGTATTTTGCCATTGTGACAATAACATTTTTCTTGCAGCCACTCCCAAAGCATTGAAGTTTTGGCCTAGAAAATTAGATAACTATTTGAGATATGTACAAATACAGGTGCTACAAACACTAAAGTAGCGTATGTTTAGTTATGAAGAGCGTTTTGTTTAAAAGTGGCCTGCTTCACAAAAAGCATTTGCGTGATTTTTTTTTTCAGTTACTCTTTAGTTATTTATATAGCTGGAACGTGCATCCTGTCTCAGTACACAGACCGTAGATAGAACTTTTCTCTTATGTGTAACTATTCTAAAAACTACTCAAAAAAATTACTCTCCCGGTCTTCTCTTTTCTTAGTTCCTGTCCTTCAGGGCTTAACATACCTCAGGTTCAGGCTCCCTCTGTTCCAGAGAATTTCCCTCCCTGTGTCCCCCAAATATTTTTATACCACCGTTTATAGTATTTTGCTCAGAATAGAGCCTGAGAGCATCTCCTGAACAAAAAGTGAGTATTTATTGATCTCTTGCCTCCTATAATATGTGAAAAGGTAAATATGTTTCAGCTTTAAATTAAATTTACTAGATGGAATGGGGGGGGGAGGAGGGCGGGCGGGCAGCTTCCCAGTAGGCTTTAGCTTCTGTCATTGTCATGCTGTAGGCCGTATGGAAGCATCAGCCAATTTCCTAGCTAGTATCAAAAAAGTTTTCTTTTGAAGTATACCTCTGAATCTTTCATTGTTTTTCTTTACTTTTCAGCCATTGCCAGAGTTGCCTCGCATCCCAGGCCTTGTTCTCGATGGAAGCACGTTTTCAGATTCTCTCATGGTAGTGCAGTTCCTGCGTAACTTTGGTAAAGTTCTTGGCTTTGATGTAAATGTGGATGTCCCTTCCCTGAGTGTTCTTCAAGAGGGCTTGCTAAACATAGGGGACAGCATGGGAGAAGTACAAGACTTGCTTGTAAAGCTTGTCTCTGCAGCTGTTTGTGATCCAGGACTTGTTACAGGATACAAGGTAAAAAAAAAAAAAAATTAGGATTTTTTAAATTTATGAATGCATTCTTCATAATGTGTCTTTGTCACCTCTCTGATTTGAGTTCTCTTTCCTGATTCTTTTTGGTGTCACTGTTCTAATGTTACTGGGCATTTTCTCTACCCTCCCCAGTTTTTTATTTGGACCTCTTATATAGGGCACTATCATATCTGTGGCCATGTCTTTTAACTCCTTTTTTTTCCCCCCTTTTCATTCTTACCCTCATGTATACTCTTGCCATTTCTTTCTCCAAAGTCTGCTCTTACGTCAGTGCATCAGAACTGTTTCATTCATGGTTCTTTCCTATTATCCTTTTTCAAGCCAACATAGCTCTTCTCTACTCTAGAACTGTCGCAAGTTTGTACAAAACAGTATCCATCCAGTTTCAGTTGGACCATGTATTTTTTCATTTAACCTACTTCATTAATACTATCTCTGCTCTTAAAAACTTAGAGGTGAAGACATTCTAATTTGTTACTCTATTCAAGATTCACATTTGAATAGTTTTAAAGAAAAATCCTGATTAAAGTCCTTAGGTAAAAATGCAAACAAATGCACCCACCCTACTGTTTTATGAACAACAGTATAGCCTGCAGAGGAAAATAGTATTTTTAATTGTGATTGTTTGAAACTTCTTTGTCCTTTTTAGGCTAAAACTATTCTTGGGGAACACTTACTGAATGTTGGTATCAATAGAGATAACGTTTCCGAGATTCTACAGATTTTCATGGAGGCTCACTGTGGGCAAACTGAGCTGACGGAGAGCTTGAAGACAAAAGCTTTTCAGGCACATACTCCAGCTCAGAAAGCATCAGTACTTGCGTTCCTTGTCAATGAGTTAGCATGCAGCAAAAGTGTAGTAAGGTAAGACTTTTCTCAAACAGGTCTGCAAAAATAAATTTATAAAAATGTTAATAGTTCAAAAATACTGTACACACTGTTCTGCCACAGGAGGGTTCTTGATGTTTCAATAGTGAAAGATGAAATTTTCTGTGTTACTGCTTCTTACCTTTATATACTTCTGATATGATGGAAGAGTAGAACTTTTCAATGTTTGATTTGTAAGTTTGTTTTCAAAGCTTCCACCAATATTTCTGCAGCTATTTTTGGAGTAAAAGATGAGGTTTAATACAAAGAAATTTATTAGGTATTCTAGGGAATAATGTAGAAGATTCATATAAGGCTTCTGTAGTACTGTTTTCCCTTTTTTCCTTTTGTTTTTTTAAGACCTCTTTTGTCCAGATACTTTAACTAGGGCCATAAACTGAGGTGGCAAGCCTGATTTATCATGGTAGTAATTCAAGGAAGTGTGTACTTCATTTGTGGTCAGTAATGTATAGCATTCTATAATTAAAAACCCTCTATGTTAAACAACATTTTAGAACCCAACAACATGCAATAAAAACTTAGGAAATGCCAAGGAAACTTGAGATACCTCTACCTTCGCATACTTACTTTTGTTTTATTACCTAATTGAGTGCTGTTGTGTTCCCTGGTGAGTTCTGCTGCTTTTGATGTTGCATGCTGCAAAAATGAATCGGGGTTGTGTAAGGCAAGAATGAAAGAGATGCTTCATTTTTTCCAAAGCTGAAAAACAGCAGAAGTGGGCAGTGCAAGTGCTGTGCGTGTACTGTGCAAGAGAGTTCATGTCTATTAATCAAATTCGTCATCGTAAGAAATTTTATCATATTGCAGATGATGAACTGTTAAGTCAGATTTGTAGAAATAATCATTCAGAACTTGAGTTTCTATATTTCGATCATAGAAACTAGTATAACCTGCTAAGTTGTTGAGACTGGAATGTCTCAGAAGTGGGCTTGCAGACAGTCACTGTACTGCAGCGCTTTTTCTGGTTCTTCAGTTTCTACAATGAAAAGTGAACATTAGTTTTTAGATCACGTGGATCCTAGTTAGAATACTGTAGATATACCAGTGATAACTTGCTTTCAGCGCAGGGCTGGATGCTTTGTGGCAAATACATCTGGAGGCTTGACATTGAATTAGAACTATGGAAAGAAATGTCAAATGCTTTGAATGATACACTTCTTACAGAAAGAAAGCTTACTGATACTGTAAATAAAGACTGCCTGACACAGGTACAGCAGTACGCTACATTGGTGTTCCTAGCATTGGAATTTCCTAGCTTTAAAATTATTTATTTTGATTTTTAAACATTTCTCCAAGATAGTTATTTGAGACAAAGTATCTGTACGTAAATGTCTTGTCAGAAAAAGATCTGTACGCTCACAGTTAATGGGTTATTTTGTCTTTGACAGTGAAATTGATAAAAACATTGATTATATGTCAAACTTAAGGAGAGATAAATGGATGGTTGAAGGCAAACTTCGGAAGTAAGTTTTGTTTCCTTAAATATTACAATATATTGCTTTTTTGCATTTGCACAGATATGCTGCTATATAGGCAATCGATTCTAAGGACGGACTACAGGTTTACCAAGAAGTCAGTAGCTGAACTGCTTGATTTAGATGGAAGTGGATTTAGAATGGGGCGGCACCAGTCTTTTACAGTCCATTAAAGATGCATGAGATTCAGAGGGTTACTGTCTCAAAAATGAAGCAAAGTCAAGTCCATTTTGCATTCTTTGGAAGAAAGTAAAAAAAATTTTATTGGAGTATTACAGGAGCTGTCAAATCGCTATGGACGTTACCAAAGTTTATTTGGACCTACCATAATTACCAGTGTTCATCCTGAAAGGCGTTTTAAGAAGAGATGGTTTTCGTACAACAATTACCAATTGAATTTTGTTAGTTTATATTATGTTATCTTAGCATTTCCCATCTGTCAGTTCAGTTGTTCCCTATAGCTAGGGATCATATGTCGAATGCAAACTCTGAGGTTTTTAATATTTTTATTTAAGGTAAAATTGGAACTTTTTAACGGTTGTGAGTTTCATATCCACTGTTCTCCCATCCTACAAGACAAAATTCCATACAGCAAGCGTAACGGCTCCAACTACCAGGAAGCTAGAAGGCATAAAGTTCATGAATCACAGGGGGTAAAAATACATGGCCAGACTCTACTTTATGGTTTTTGGTTTTGTTTGGTTGTTTATTTGTTTTTTTTGTGTTTTTTGTTTTTTTTTTTTTTCTGTCATCTTTGCCTCTTACTAGGAATGGTGAATCCTTTCTTAGTCCTTGCTTTAGGTATTTGTGTTTCTAATCTTATGTCTCCCTTTTTTCCCTTTAATGTATCTCAGAAGGAAGAAGGAAAGAAGTGAAGAAGAAGGACGAGAGGGAGGTAGAGGAAAAAATTAGACCAATAAAAAAAATTTCTCTACTAAAACTGCGGATCCAGTCTGCACAGTGTTAATATATTTTCTCTTTTAGGACAATCCAAATACATTTTCATGTCTTCATCTGTAATCCCCTCTAGGGTTATAGTTTAAAAAGTGTTTCTGAAGTTCTGATGTAGCCAACGGTCTATTAGTGGAATGGGACCCTTACCTGTCCTTGTCTCCTTAGGGATGCTTAGTCTTTCTCTCCCTCCATCGAACTGTAAGTACTTGTAGTTGTAGGAGCCTTCCTTTTTGTCATGATCTCTGTCTTCTTCCCTTTCAAATAGTAGGCGTAATACCCTGAAGTCTCAAGCCCTTCTTCCTTTCTACAATCATTTTCTCTCTTTCTTGTGTTTGCCCCTCATGTGTGGATTTCAGGTTCCAGTAGTGCTGTCCCTGTTTTCAAGCGTAAGTATGGTGGGAATGCTCAGAAACGATCTTCCGCTTCTTTAAATTTACTAGATTCGATGCATCTCTCTCACCTTTGGTTCAAAATCTTTGGATTTTCCACTGTTTTTCTGATGAACTCTTAAGAAGCTGTTTAGAAGACCCTTCTTTGATCACTTTTAAACAACATTTTCTTCTTTATTATGTTAGTTGGTGTTTTTCATAAGCTCTTAGAACTGCTCTGGGGCTTCTCTGAAAAGAAATCTGTCCATTTCAGCCGTCTGTTTGGTCTTTTTTTTCTGCTTCCAGGCTTCATTCTTATGTATGTTATCATCCCCATCCATTCCAAAGCACAGTCTAGGTTTTAAGCATCCCAGTCCCAAACAGTTTCGCATAGGAATATCTGTTTTCTTGCCTGTTTGCCATGTGATCGAGAGATGTGTAATCTTTTCATAGCATACAGGCCTTTACGTGACCCTCAACACAAGCCCATCGTATGTGGAAGTTGTGTAGTGATAGAATAACGGATGCTGAGGAAAGGGTTTATTTCATCTCAGCCTGATTCACCAGTGTTTGTGGTGGTAAATCTTCATACCACTATGTCCAGACTGCCTTGAATTGTATCCAAGTGGGATGAGAAAAGATTGTACCTGTGATCACTACGTGATTTTTCTCTGCTTACGTGCTCACTTTTTATGTAGAGTAGCTCCTCAGCTGGATACTGGCATTGGGGGAGCATAAAAAAAAAACAAACAGGAAAACCTGTGTTTGTAAGATACAAAAAAGCAACATTAAAATCCCAGGTTGGAAAAAGGAATCATTGTATAAAAGCCTTGCCTGGACTGTTTCTGCTGGGCTGATGGTTAGTGAGAGGTTGCACCTAATTCCTTCTCTGTCACACTTAGATGTGAATCTTGGTACTAATCGCCCTTTTTGTAAAGGTACCCGTCTCATACAGTCAGTTCATCTTTCTTTGTGCTTTCTGTATCATGACTGTACTCAGGAAACTGTCTCACCTGAGATGATTCAGCTATTTTTTAACAAGATAATCGCAATCTCAGCATTTCCTTTTCCATTACATGTGTTCTCCGTGGCATCTCTTTTGTAGTTTTATAAATATGAAAAGGAATAAAATTAAAATGGAGCTACTTGAGGGATTAGGTAATACCTGTTTCTTCACAAGACTTCAAATGCTGAAGAACAAGGTTTTTCACTGCAACGATGTTGGTTTTTTTTTAACATGTCAGTTTTTTGGCATACTCCTTGTAAGTTAATTTCCGACAAGGCCATCTCCACTGTAAATGATGCTAGTGTTTCAAAAGCAGTATTACATGAGGGGAGATACTGCACCCTGAGTTTGGGTGGGAGGTGGTAGTGCTGATTTGGGAAGCTTCCATTTTTTTGTGAATATGCTGAAGTATGTTAAAAGTGCATTAAAAGTGCGATGTTAAGAAATTCTTTGCCTTGCTGCTACTTAATAGGCATGAAAATTAAGTCAAAAGGTGAATTTTCCTTCTGTGCTCTGGTAAAGATTACAGATCAGATTAGAGCAGCCTTAAATCAAAGGTCTGATTATCTGATGGGCCACTTGCTCTTTTTATAGGTCAGTAAACTTTATATCAACAGTGCAGGTGTCATTTTGGTATATACCTGAAAGTGAGTAAGATGAAACAGTTTTCTAAGTGAAGGTTTTCTTCTCTCAGTGAGCCATATGTCTAGGTAGCAACAGAAAATTATGCTATCTCTTCAGGTACCTGAACATTTCATAAGTTATGCTTTCTTTGATTTCTGCTTCTACACTACTTCAGACACAGACTCCTGCCTTCTTATGCTTATGGTGCTGTTAGGAGAGCATCTTTGATTCATTTCCATCCTTATAATTTGTAGCATCATGCAGGCTTCCTTTAGTGCGTGACAACACTTTATTTCTATTTTTGATTTCAGCAAAAGTAGCCTTTTTTTGCTGCTTCTCATTTCTTTTAGGTATATGAAAGAGGTGTTTGCTGGTGATTGATCTTCCTGCCAGCTTTATTATTGATTTGTCTTCAAGATTATCTTAGTCTAACTTGTCTCTAAAATTGTCCAGTCATGCAGCAGTCAATCCAGTCATTGACTAGTGGCTTTGTTTGATAGTTAATTCCTTTGTACGGGCAGGAACTTCCAGTCCAGATGAAGAGAATTTCATGGTTTGAAGTTGTCTTCATAAAAAGGAATTTTTTTTTTCTAAAAACCTTCACTCCGTGGAGGCCTGAGTAGTATTGGTACTCAATGAGACTAAGGCTTTTTGCACCAGACCTGAAAACGTTACTTGCTTCCAAATTCATTGGGAAGCTTGAGAAATTTTTTTATCAAAAAATATTTCAAATCATTAAAATAGCTAAATATCCATTTGTATCGCAAAAATAAAAAGTGTAAAACTTTCTGAATTCTCCAGTGGATTAATTCCTGCGTTTAAAAAAAAAAAAAATCCAAAACCCACCACACACAAAAATCAACACCCAACTGTTTTCAAGCAAACAGAAGTCCCCTTGATGATTTCTTGCTAATGGTCTTTTTAAAAAGTGCTGCTACCAGTTGAGCAGTGACAGCTTCATTTAAATCTGTGCTGTTGAGTACTGGCTTTGTTATCAGTGTTTTAGAAGGCTGATGCATCTGTCAGTGTGCCCAGAAGCTGGTACCTCTACAACACTCATACTTGTAGCCACTTGCTGTATGGAATATTGTTTTGTAGGATGGGAAGAGAGAGAAGTATGACAAGGAAAAATTACGTACTGGTAATTGTGTTTGTCGTTACCGTTCTACTTTTCCCATCCTACCTTCTTCAGTCATCTCTTAAAAAAATCTTTGTCTTTTCTACACGTGTTTATGAATCTCTTCTGAGTCAGTTGCATTTTTGGTCTGCATTAGAAGGGAGTCGTTAGGCCTGGCTATTTATACCTCCTGTGATTCAGCATGTTTGCCTGCTAGCTCCCTGGTAGGTGGAACTATAATTTCTGCTGTGTGGAATCTTGTCTTATAGGGTTTTTATAGAAGAAGAAGGTCTACTACAACCATAATTACTGGTATGTAAGTTTCCATTTTCTTTCATAAAAGGAAAAATGAGAGTTTGATTGAGTAATCTCCTAGTAGTTTAGGTAGCTAAGATTTCTCAGAAAAGAAAGTATGTCCTAGCTGAAGGACTGAAGTCAAATAATAATATATAATAAATTAAAAATGCTTAAAAATCTGAAATGAAAAAGAAAAAGTTAAACCAACCTTGCTGTCGCCATGCGAATGTGAATAATTTCATACCTCCAACTGAGAATTTTTGCCAGCCCCTCCCCTTCAGACACAGGTATTTTATGATCATATTCTTAAATGCATGAAACAGAAGATAAAGATGTTGAAATGGATCTTTATTCTAATTGTCTTTCCTGACTTTTCAGAATCTCTCTTGTATTTCATTTCTTCAAAATAGTTACGCAATAAAATTCACCTAGGAGAAACTAGTTCATAACTGAATAAGAGGCTTAAGACTTTTATAACCTTAATTTTTCTTGTTGATTAATGGCAAGAAATATTGAGAAAATGCAATGTCATATTAGAACAGAAGAGCTAATTTGAATCTAAAGTGTATGATTTACTTTGAGTCACCTAGGAAGAAAGGTATGTTGGTGCTACAGCCATACTCCATAATTTCAACCCTTGTCATATGTTTCAAGGCTTAGAATCATTCATGCCAAGAAAACTGGCAAAAGAGATGCTACAGGAGGTGGTGATGTAGGAGAGGAACAGCACTCTTTGGAAACACCAACACCAGGCCGCAAACGCAGACGAAAGGCAGGGGACAGTGATTACGATGATGACGACGATGATGACAGTGATGATCAGGCAGATGAGGATGAAGAGGATGAAGAGGACAAAGAAGATAAAAAAGGAAAGAAGGCAGAAGTTTGTGAGGATGAGGTGGGAGATTTTAACTAAGTTAAAACTAAGAATTAACTAAGTTAAAACTTGTTTTCCTTCTGTTTCTGTGCAATATGGTACTGCTTCCCCAAAATCTCACAATAAAAAGGAAAGAAGAATAACTTCCCTCCAATATTTTTAAATTTTTGGAGTAAGTTTATTTTCTGGAGTATTTTTTTTTCTTTTCTTTTTTTTTTATAGCTATCTTAATAGGGTTTGGTGGGGGTTTTTGGTTGGTTGGTTTGGTTTGGTTTAGGTTTGGTGGGGTTTTTTTTTTGGTTGGGTTGTTTTGTTTTGGTTTTTTATTTCCTGCTTACTTGTTTTGATTTAGTCTTAATTTTTCTGAAATTCTGAAGGATTGTACCAGATCCAGAGAATTGCAGCTTTGCTAGCGAATGAGCCTAACTGTAATTTTCTTTTAGGGGAGAATAAAGATTATTTATTAGTTAACAAAATAATAAAGAAGTGTAAAGTTATATTTAACGTTATATGTTGCAAAGCTTGCCTGTGACCTTCCTGTGTGTTTTTTTCATAACTTTTCTAGGGTGGTCACTGCCTGACTGTATTTGATCACAAGATGATAAATATTACTAGTCAATATCAGCTAAGATACAGGGAGGATTACTGAAACATTTTTAGCATGTTGAGCTGAATCGTATCTAAAACAGTAAAAAGGTTTTTTTACTGGAAGTGCCACAGGCCTGTAAGATTCACTGTAGAACTCTCGAATTCTCTACTAGATGAAACCTGATAAAGACAAGCAGTATCGATTACTACATTTTAGCACACTAGGTGTTGCACTGTTTGCCAGAAAGCGATCTATTTGTGCAAGGTTATTGAAGTTCAGAGTAAGGTTTTATGGGTGCTGTGGATATGGCCACTTGAGCAATGCGTGTGTACAACGTACGTGACCTCAAATCTTTGCAAACACTCTTCATTAGAAACCCGGATAGTTTCTAGGGTAGGATCAGCCCTTTGTGCTTTTATTCTGGATTTATTTCAAGTAGTAAAACATGTATGAATTTGAGAGCATACCTTAGAGGCATAGCAGCATAGCACAAAATTCTTACAAATTAATACTTCGGAATTAAAAATAAGTAGTACTTAGGTATCTGATCTCACATCCATCCCTTAATCTTTTTCCTTTAGTACAAGCTCCTGTTTTGGCGCAGTGGGCATTGCATAGACAAAAGTCCTGTAACTCCTGTAGAGAGATTAATATGTTAACAGAAGTTCCATTGCATTCGTGCTATATGTGGTATTTCAGAAGGCTTCACTCTGGTATATTTTTACAGAGCCAGGAAATACAAGACCAGTATCCTACGGTGCAGGTGATTGGGAGCTCCTAGGATATTGGTTGTATTCTTTTGGAAACTTACTGCTATGCCCAGAGACTTTCTTGAACTAAATTAAAACTCTCTTTATGGAAATGACTTTCATTTTTAAACTGTGTCAAGAAGGGAACCCTGCACTTAATCGTGTGTGCATTCCTCTTCAAAAATCAGCAAGATTGATACTGGAACTTTTATAGCAGACCTACAATTTGTTGTAAACATTGAAGTAAAATGGAAGTGTGCACTGATGAAGAACTGATAAGATTTCGTCAAATTCCATTATTTCATGCATGAAAAACACTTAGAAATTAATTTGAATATCCAAAAAGCTTCCTAGAAATGAAGATTAAATTCTGTAGTCTTAAGTGTTCATGCACAAACTGAATTATTTCTTCCAGTAAAAGAATGTTTTCAGTGCACATTTGGCCACAAGCTTTCTCCTTCATGTGCCTCTGGGTTGGTTTGAAAAGGTTCAGGATAGATCTTTTTCCAGTTGTGTTGTTCCTAGTCAAATATATTGAACAAGCACAAAATTTGAACTTTTTTACCCTTAGAATTTGCTTCTATGTTTTCTGTTACATCTTTTTACTGTAATGTTAGTAAGACATGGTAGCATGATTTTATGCTGAAATAAATTTGGTGTGACAGTATATTTGGTGATTACAGGATGATGGAGACCAGACAGCAAGTGTTGAAGAACTAGAGAAGCAGATTGAAAAACTGACAAAGGTGAGAGGTTGTTTGTCTTTGTTACACTACAAATTTGATCACTGGATATCATGGGTTAGAATGTTAACTATCGTTTTCAGTGCTCTAACTTAATATAACTTGAAATAAGGATAAGCTTTTGTTTCATGAAAATATGAACGATGCTACTGTTCATGACACCTGAATTGTGAGTTCAGTCAAGCAGCTCTAAGCCAATATGACTCAAAAGATAGTTAGAAAGCTGTTGATAATATATTTGCACATCTCAGAATAAAAAGTAATATAATTTTTATCTGGGCCTAATATATATATACTTCAGTTTGTTGATGTTAGAAAATGATGATAAATTTTGTGTACGAGAAGCAATGACTTTTCCATTTTACAAACGATTGCAGTTCTCATTCCCTCCTGCCGCTGGCTAACTTCTGCAGCTGTGTTCCAAGCCAATACAGAGAGCTGTCTTTGCTTCAGTTTTTGAACGGAAAAACAATGGAATAGGAAGAGAACCGTAAATGAGAAAGATAGAATGCTGTAGATAATACTCATGGCCCACGTTTTTATTCTTTGTATTAGAAAATTCATCCTTTAAGACTTTACCTCTTGGTTTCTCTCACGTTCCAAATTGCAGTAAGTTAGTAGTCCAGAAATGCATCTGTCTTCCAGCAGTGTCAATTTAGCAGAGGAAGAATTGAATAAATAAACTCAAATTCTTGTTGGCCCCCTCAGAGAACAGTTTGTGTTCAAATACAGGATTTATTTTCAGACATTATTGTTCTCATTCTTTTATGAAGCAGTTAAAATATCTCATTCATTTCCCATCAGGAGCTGCAGTAGTAGCTATCTTCAGTGCTCTGTTTACCATTTGCTCTTACTGTATAATTGATAGGATTTCAGCTGTTCTTGTGCAATGAAATCTTTGGTCCTATTGTTCTCTGAGTCAGTTTAAAAAGAAAGGACCTACCATTGCAAAATGTGTTTTTAAAGGAAGACTGATAGACTTAACCTGAACTAGAAAGGGATTGAATTGATTTTCTTTTCAAAGGGAGCTCTGTAAGTAAAACCATCAAGGTGGCAACTGTGAGTAGAATATCGCAAACGAACACACAGAATCTCTTAAGAGAGCCTTCTCATGTGACCCTTGAACTTCTACTCAGTCTGGCAGCCAGTAGATGTTTTCTGTTATAACTAATTTTTTTCCCCTGTTGACTTACAATGCTTTCCCTTTTTAAAACAGCAACAAAGCCAGTACAGAAAGAAGTTATTTGAAGCCTCACACTGTTTGCGTTCAATGATGTTTGGTCAAGATCGTTACAGGCGCCGATACTGGATTCTCCCCCAGTGTGGTGGTATTTTTGTGGAAGGCATGGAAAGTGGTGAAGGTGAGAAACATAAAGGAATAACGTCACACCAAGGCATGCTATGCCAAGATATACTGCCCATCTCTGTAGGCTATAATGTTGTGCAGCAAGGTCTTTAGGCTTCACCTTCAACCAGAGGCTAAACAGGCTACTGTTAGTAGACCTCTCTATTCACACGGTGCTCTCTGGTACTTTCTGGTTATGAAATATCAGTCAGTATTTTTCAAAGTGAGGATTAGTATTTTGGAAGTTTTCAGTCGTTACAGTTCTATATGTTTTGCTTTTACAGATTTATCTATGTGAGATATTTTTTGGCTCTTTTTGAACTATTTCACATTTCCCTATGGCAGTGAACTCTGCATATGAAAACTAGGATGACCATAGAAAGCAAAAAAATTCCTTTTCATGTTCAGTTTTTACGTTTTGTGTAAATACACAGACTGTTCTGTGCTTTGAGATTTGATATGTGTCTGCAAAAATATGAAAACTTTTCACACAGCGAAGTACTGTATTTTCTAATCAACAATATGATACAGTCTCTGTATTTTACCAACTGATCTTTCTTCCAATCCAGCAAATGCTGAAGTTTTTTTTGCTAAAATTAAAATGTAATTTTGTGGTTGTGACAGTTGTATGCTGTGATCGAATTTATCACACACTTTAGATGGGTTAGATGCAGAAAATAGGTATTAATCTAACCTTTTTGTGTTACTAGAATTTTTAATTAGAAGCCTTCATTTTGATCACAGAAAAATCCTTTCTAATTCTGATACAGATGAAGCAAACCCCCATTAATCTCACAATTTCCCCCCCTAAAAATAACAACAAAAAAAATCTCTGATACACATCAGAATTGCATGATCTCATGAGGATTGCATCATTCTGGAAGAGCTATTTAATGAAAGTAACTGTAACATTAAAGCATGGTATGAAATGTGACCCCTGTTTTGGCCCCAAAAATAAGCCATAGAACTTTTCCTAAATCTAATTTTGATCTTAAAGTTACCTTTCTAAAATGGGTAGCATAAAAAATAATTTCTCTGTGTCTCCTGTTCTGCATTATTTTATGCTCTGTGTTAGGAACTGTTTTGCACATGAGTAGCTGAGTACAGAAGGTAAACTGTCATATGCTGTACTGCTTGCATTTCTTTTGTTCACTGCATTTTATTTATTGTATTTTAACCAGATGAGTCCTCAATTGCTTCGTAAACTTGTACACAAAGAAAAATCATTGAAATACACCTACCTGTCTTAAAGACAGTAAAAACAAACGAAAAAAAACACATGAAAGTTTTAGCCAAGAACTGTAGAGCAAACCTGTATTTTTTAAATTATTGTCTTAATGAAAGTTTATCTCCCTGAATAGCGTAATGGACAATGTTCTTAAATTCTCAACTTCTTCCTCTTCCCCTCAGCTCTTAGTTTGCTGTTTCAGTAAATTCTATAGTTTATCCACTCCTGATTCCTTTATCTAAACATTGGAAATGTGAGACACAAACTGTTGAATGATCTGTCCATTTAAAAAATACCTCTTCCCTCTTTGTGTAGTCATTTTGGTTCTTATGCTGATCCTCAAGTTGTTTATATCTTGACATACACCATAGCTGTGGACACATTTTGAAGTTTTAATGGCAGGGGATATTATTTTCTTTAATGGATTATCTTTGTAGAAATTATGATTTTCCAGAATGAGCAAGTAAACTTTTGTGGATGTTCTGGCCATAAATCATAAGCAAGACCTTTCGTCTATTTACGATTGCAGTATCTGATGGAAATAATTTAAGAAGTTGGAATGTTGGATTTTCTACTTCCCCCCCTTTTCCTGACATTTTTCCATCCCATTTTATACTTTTTAAGACTTTTCATCTAAGCTGATACATCAGTGTAAGTGTAGAAGAGACATCATAGAATCACAGACTGGTTTGGCTTGGAAGGGACCTCAAAGATCATCCAGTTCCAACCCCCCTGCCATGGCAGGGACACCTCCTACTAGGCCAGGTTGCTCAAGGCTTCATCCAGCCTGGCCTTGAGCACTGCCGGGGATGGAGCATCCACGACTTAGGAGAGCAAAGAGGACAGAAAAATGTTGTTCCTTCTCATAAAAGATAGATATTTTGCACCTCATATGTTGAAGAAGCTGGTTTTTGCAATGAACTTCTGCTTGTTGTACTTTAAATTGCTCAGATGCAATCAGACAGCATAGCTTCTGTCTGCCTAGCTGTGTGTAGAGTCCCAGTCGTCACGGGGGTGGCTTTTGAAAGAGTTTTAAACTTTAAATAACGTTGACATTGTTTCACAAAGTTGTTAATGATTTTTAAAGAAAGAGGTAAAATATTTAATGTTGTGTTTCAATATTTGGGGAATATTTGATTTCACAGAGGGAATTTTGGTCCTCCTTTTTTGTTGTTGGCTGTGAGTTTAATGAAATCGTCTTTTGTAAAAATAAGCTTTAGGGCCGTAAACATTGTACCCTCTTGATATAAACAGGAATTTTTTCCATAAAGCATGGAGAGTCCTGCAAAAAAGAAAGCTGCCAAAAATTTGTCCCTTTCAAAGACTTTATACTGGCAAACAGCTTCATATATACATGCATCTTAAGGGAGAATACTACAGCAGGTTAACTATGTTGAGGTTATTTTTCCTTCAGGTGCTTAGCAGGGTTTAAATCTGGGTGCACAGAAGCTTGTTTCCTTCTGCAAAGTGTTCTGTAATGTGAGAAATGATTTCATTAAAAAAAGAGGAAAAGACATTGTGATCTAGCCAAAAATGAAGTAATTTTTTATTTAACTATGATGATAAAAATGGTCTGAATTAGTTGGTCTGTTATATTCCATCTATGTTTCTTGTACATTTTTAGGCCTAGAAGAAATTGCAAAAGAAAAGGAGAAGTTAAAAAAGGTGGAAAGCATGCATATCAAAGAAGAATTTGAGACAGAAGAAAAATTACACTGCTTAAATACAGTTCACTGTGAGCAAAAGGAAGATCTGAAAGAAAAGGACAACACTAATTTGTTTTTACAAAAGCCCGGGTCATTTTCAAAACTAAGCAAACTGTTAGAGGTAGCAAAAATGCCACCTGAATCTGACATTATGTCCCCAAAACCTAACGGCAGTGCAGGAAATGGCTGTACGTTATCTTACCCAAGTAACTCAAAAAACTCCCTCTGCAGTCTTCAGCCCACTGTATCACAAAGCAGCATTGAGAAGTCTGATTCTAACAATCTTTTCAGTCCTAATGCAAGTGGGACAGGAAAGTTTTACAGTTCTCCACTAATTCCAAATGACCAGTTGTTAAAGACTCTTACTGAAAAGAGCAGACAGTGGTTCAGCCTTTTACCGAGAGTACCCTGTGATGACATGTCTGTTACCCATATAGATACACTGGCTACTACAACTTCACTTGCTCCTCAGTCACATCCACCATCAAAGTCACCTTCACCTGTTCCATCACCACTTCTGGGCTCAACCTCTGCACAGAGTCCAATGGGATTAAGTCCTTTTGCATTGTCACCACTGCAGGTAAATAAATGAATTTTTGAATAGTCTGAATTTGCTGTGCTTATGTGGGCAGAATTTTGGTTTAGAAAAATTGTTTCACAGAAGTGGCATCATTATATCTTCATTTCTTCATTTTTTTTCCTGTTTCTAAGTGTTAATAACTAATTCCATGTTACAGATGTTTTATAATACCAGAAGGTTTTTTGATAAAAAATTATTAGGATAGGTAAAATTAGGTATGCCAGTGTATGATATTTTTGTACGTGTATTTCAGTAATTTAATTTGGCTTTTAGGAGGTTGGCCCAGTGGTATTAAATGAAAATAAATAAGTGAAATAAATAAAAACTGCTTCTCAGAAATTTGACATATCACACCCTCACTTTAAAAGCTGTTTTTTAAGCGTTAGCAGAGCCCCAATAAGGAGTATTACAGCTTAGTTCACCTTAGTTTTTCTTAAACTAGTCAAAGAACGGAGCAAAGGCCTCCTTTATGTTTTGATTATTGTTTGACAAGCAGCATGCCACTTGTAACTCTGTTTTCTTGGTTTATAAAGGTAGTTGTGCTTGTGTTAACAATATGTTCTGTGTAGCAGATGAAGACTGGACTGCCTGTAATGGGACTTCAGTTTTGTGGGTGGCCTACAGGAGTTCTTACTTCGAACGTTCCGTTTTCATCTCCTTTACCTGCTCTTGGATCAGGGTTGGGATTGTCAGAAGTGAATGGTAACTCATTCTTGGCATCTAGTGTTCCTGCAAGTAAAAGCGAATCAGCAGCACTACAGACTGAAAAAATAGCTTCTGCCCCTTCTACAGCAGTTGAAGTGGCCAAGCCAGTAGATTATCCTAACCCAAAACCTATACCGGAAGGTAAGTATAATACAACAATACGATGGATCTATGTGAAGGACAATGTCTACGTGCCACTATGACATTACAATTTATTTCTTTTTATCATTTGCCTATTGAATTTGGCTAGATGATTTTTGTAAACTGATTGTGTGTGATCGCGTAAAAATGCCTGCAAAGTGTTTATACGTTTGTCTCAATTTAGAAATGCAGTATGGGTGGTGGAGGATTACTGATCCGGAGGACCTAAAATCTTTGCTTAAAGTGCTGCATCTCAGGGGAATAAGAGAAAAGGCCTTACAAAAGCAAATACAGAAACACATGGATTATATCACTCTGGCCTGCATCAAAAATAAGGATGGTATGTGATGGATATTTACATTATGCATGGTGGTGGGGCGTAAGATGACTGGCATAGAGTTCTGTGAGATGTGTTTAGATAGAGAGTTAGAGTAGTGGCTGGAGAAAAAAAGGTAAAGGACTCGTCTATAGTTGCCTTTTCACTAGCCTTACTCTGGAAGGTTACAGGATTGGAGAAATCCCATTTAATATAAACTGCTGTAGTGGCATAAATGTCAGTAACCTTTTTAAGCTCTTTCCATCTCTAACACTCTAGCTCAGCCTCTCCTTCCCCTTCTTGCCTTTAAATTGCAAATTTGAAAGCCTGCAGAGTTTGTTGTCCATATTTGGTATCTTAAGAGTAGTACACTTTTGCAACAGTTCTTCAGTATTGGACTGGAGTGACACGTGAATCAGCTTGAATTTACTCAGAGAAGTTATAATACTAATTAAAATAATAAAAATGTGATTCTCAAATACAGTTGCAATTATTGATATCAATGAAAATGAAGATAACCAGGTAACTCGGGATGTTGTGGAAAACTGGTCAGTAGAAGAACAAGCAATGGAGATGGATCTTGCTATTCTTCAGCAGGTGGAAGATCTAGAGAGGAGAGTTGCATCAGCTAGTTTACAAGTTAAGGTAAAACCACCTTTTAGTAAAATGTATCTTTAAAATAAATGGTAAGAATTTGAAGTAGATAGTAGCAGTCCTTTTGCTGTTGGTAAGTGCCTTCCTATTCCATCTCTAATGGTCTGCAAATGAAACAAATCCACTCCAGCAGTATCATGGATATTTGTGTTTGAAGCATTTTATTGCAGTGAAATCTTCAGCTGAACAGCAGTTCCTGGAGAGTATTCTTGCACACTGTGTAGTTCCCTACGCATTTTGTTAACCTTATATGAATGCAAAGGTTTTATTTGGTATAGACTGCTTAATGATAGCGAGTTTTGCCACAGTTCTGCCTCACTTGGATGATTGTTGCTGTTAATGCTTTCAGAAAAGCCTAATACTTCGCTCGAGTATTGTAGAGTCACAGAGAACGTGTGATGGTTGTGAGTGTGAAAGAATTAAGAATTCACTGGCTGTTGTTACAATTTGGAATTTTTCCAAGGTGGGTGTAAGGATATCAAATTGCATATGTTTGGTTATAGTACAGATGTCGTTTTTGGGATCCAGCTTGTTCTAGGGGTCGACGTTATTTCTGTGTGACCAATTGATACTGTCTGCT